ACCGTGGGACTTTTTATTGGAACCGTGTTGCATACAGGCTGCTGTCAGAAACCCTGGGAAGGTTCTAATGAGCTGTGGGGAGCAGAAATCAAACAAGCCACAGCTGCCGCGACATTGAGCAGAGGGGAGCAGGGTTCCAGGGCTTTGGAGGACACAGCAGCTCCTCCCCACCCCCACTTGGCTGCCCCAGCACGAAGTGGGGTTGGCAGCTTAGGCTGGGTTGGTGGTGGGTTTTCTGAATTTGCATGTTCTAATCCCCAACTTGAATAGTCTTGGGGTACACCAAGTCCCCCAGTCAAGGTAAGGGCTTCGGCCAAGTTGTTGGCCAATTACTGCTTGAGGAAATAGCTGGGAATGATGGAGAAGACCCAGCGCAGAAAGAAGCCTTTCTGGTGTCGACCTTCTATGACATTGTAGGACACAAGGTCAGAGAGACTGCGTTCACAGCCCAGCTCCCTCCCTCCCTGGGAGAGCAGGGCCATGCCGATTCCCCTTCCTGGAGCCTCAGTTTCCTCAACTGAAAAATTGCCATCTGACCTACGTTATAGGGTTGTTTGAACCATGGAAGAACCCACAAGGGCACAATGCCAATCAGTGCTCAGAGCCTAAGCGCCCCATGAGTGACTCTGGCCTACGGAGCTCAGAGAGAAGTTCATGTGGAAGAGGGAGAGTTTTACCGGATGCTAGAGTCATGTAGGTGGTGGCACCTTGGATCGTCCCGATCTGGTTGCAGGCCTCAGACACCTGGCATCATCCTGTCACTGAAGCACCCGCCTTCCCTAGCATCCGCGCAGTGACTAGCATCCCCGCAGCCTCTGGTGAACAGAAGACCCGGGAGCACAGGTTCCAGGAGGTGAAATCCAAAGCATCAGTCACTCTCTCTGCCCCTCCCCTCCAGGAGCACACAGGCCACACCCATTTTACAGATGAGAAAACTGAGGCGAGGCCCACTGCATTTCACCCAGCTACTGAGACACAGGCAAGAGAAGCACCAAGGAGCACCGATCCCAGTGCACTCTCCTTTACCTTGTGGGAAGAGGAGGCATAGCGCTGCTTGGCCAGAGAAAAGAGCTTATGATTTTCTCTCTCTCTTTTTTTTTTTCTCCCAAGAAATGGTGACTTTTTAATAGAAGTTGGTTCATGTGCAGACATTTTATTCCTCAATTAATTTCCATCTAAATGAGGTTTCCCCAGAGATAAGCAGTGTTTTAGTTCCATTTGAGCTTAATTTGTATGACCGAAGCCTCCTTTCCTGCCAATTCCAATTTGCCCAATGATGCCAGCCCTCCTGACCTGGCCGATAGGCCCCCTTGCTGACAGCCACCCCAGAGCTGAGCCAGGGACCGATTTCCAATAGCAACTCGGGGAAGAGGTAGCAGCCTCTCCTTTCCCAATGCCACTCAGCAAATAGGAAATATAAACTATCCAGGAAGCTGTGTCCTGCCAAGGGGGCCCTCCATCATGTTATTTACAGTGCAAAACAGCAACGGAAAAATTTTGAAATAGAAACAAAACCAATCTTCCGGAGACAGTGGGGAGATAGCAACTGTCTCCATGCCACGGGGCAGAAGGGAGACTCAAGGGCCATGGTCAAGCGCTACGGGACAACACAGTCAGCTGGCTCACTGGGGAGGGGTCTGTTCTGCCAAATCCTGGGGGCTTTTGATCACAAAAGAAAAAAACAAAGTCTATTCACCTGGAATGGAAGGAACAGCCACTCACGAGACGTAAGAGGACTTTGAATCACTGGGGGACAAAGCGGAGATGAGCAGAGAGCAGTGGAGGGCAGCACGAGCTCTGGGCCTGGGGGAGCACCCCAATTTGGGCCTCTTCAAGCAAAGTCTCTTGGAGAGAGGCTGGGTCTGCAGAAATGGAGTGCGGGGCTCCCTCTGATAAGGGCTCTTGCGTCCTACGGGACTTGGCTCTGCTTTCGGAAGACTAAGGCCGCTCCAAGCGCAGGACTAGACTGCTTCTGGGGGGGCCTGGGGCTGCTCTGTCTCCCATTGGAGGAGAATCTCGGGGTCTGGATGGGACCCTGCCCTTCCTGCCGATGGAAGTGTTGCCCAGCCCCTACCGAGCTCCCACTCCCGCCAAGCTGCACAGCTTGTTGGGAGAGTATCCAAGTTCCTGACCGCCATGTGGTGTGTTTGTGAGGTCTGCCCTCAGGAGGAGTGGGCTTTACTGAGGGTGAAGTGGGCATGGAGACCCTCGACAAGCCCAGCTTTGAGGGCTTGGATCATCAAGGTTCCCCCCCCCCCCAAAGGTTTCTACTTTGGGACTTAAGAGCGGCTTTCTTGTGACCCTCCCCCAGGGCAGCGACGTAACCAGAGGTGTAGGTGGCACAGTCCCCAGGTGTTGGGCTGCTAACTTGGAGGTTAGCAGGTCAAAACCATCAGCCACTCAGAGGGAGAAAGACAAGGCTTTGTATCCTGTCCAGAGCAGCTCTCCTCTAACCTACAGCCTCACTAGGAGTTGAGGGCAGTAAAGTGGTGTCTTTTGGGTTACAAAAATCTCACGAATTTCAGACTAGCCCAGGAGAGCTGGCATGTTCAGGACCGGGTATAGTGACTTTGAAAAGGCCGGGTCCTCTCAAGCCAATGGCTGCCAGGGACCCTGCCAGGTGGGCAGTGAGGCAAGCCTGGTGGCAGGCTCTGGGTCCCCATCTGGCTATTCCTGTTGTCTTGTTTCCTCAATTCCGCAGATGGAGCAACTAGAGATGACCGAAAACGAATGTTTGCCTAGATTGGTGGGTCTCTCCCTAGACAGCCTCACCTTGCCTTGTGCCAAACAGGGAGTGGGGAGGGCGGGGGGACAGCTGACGGGAAACCATGTGGAAGAGGAGAAGAGGGAGGCTGCCCAGTAGTATCAGCAGCCCTGGACTGAAGCCACTCAAACAGGCTGCCCTCAAGTCGACTCTGAGGGTGCGCGTCTGTCCCACCCCACCTGTCATCCAGTGTCAGACCCTTTCCAACGCCCCATGGCTTCTCAAAAGCAGGGCAGCACTTCCCTAAGTTCTCACCCCGTTTTCCAAGGGGGTGTTAGCCTCCCTGGCTTGTCTAGGGCCTCCTGTGGGGTTGACTTTGTGCAGACCCCAAGTCCCCCGTGTGTGGGCATGGTGAGCCTCTCATCAGTGAGGTAGCAAGGGGACTGGGGTTGAGGGAGAGAGTGGGAGGTGGACCTGTGTGTGTATTTGCAGCCCCTCCCTGGGGCTCACCTCCAAGGTGAAAGCAGACCCCCCCCCATCCTGCCTCTCAAATCCCATCCAGAGAGGCCCAAGGAGGGAAAATAACAGACACACAGATACCCCCACCCAAACACACATCCTCCTCCTCCTCCCTACAAATAAATAGCGGTGCAGAGAGCGGGGATGGGAGCGAAGAGTCGGCATGTAAATAAATAAATAAATAACATAAATAATATAAATAACAGGTGCGCTGGCCCCTGCCAGGATGGGCCCCCCAGGGTGTTGGAAGGAACACTGCCTAGCACTTGGCATCCTTACGACTAGAGTCCAACCCCACAACCCCTTGGTCCCGTGGAAAGGAGGCTCCCATCCCCGGGAAGGGAGGATTATTTACAATTGCTGTACATGTCCTCCCAGGGTACCTGCCAGACAGACTCTTCCGTGGTGACAGCATCGATTGGCATCAGTCCTGCTGGGGGGAGGGGCCTACCCAGAGAGCATCATGGGAAGGCCTAGCCATCCACCCTTTTCTCCAGCCCGCTTCCACTTCTTTACTGAAGCCAGAAGGGTTTGCCGGGTGGTGCCTTGTCTTACCAGCTAACAAGCCTCCAAGAAGGAGATTCCTCCCTCTCCCCCCAGTGTTTTCCTAGGGAGGAGGATCAAGACTGCTTGGCTCCCCCAGCCTCAAGCTTGGGACTAACTCCTTGTCTAGTCAGTAGTTCCCTGCTGGAGTAGCCACCACAAAGTGGAGACTCACCACCCTGGGCTCCAGAATGCCAGGCTGCTGGCAAAGTAGATGCCCACGAGTTTATTTTAAGATCTCCCCCCCCCCCCCTTGTCCTCAGCACTTTCTGGGGGTGAGGCAGCTGGTAGTGTTTGTGTATGAGGGATTAATTTTCCCTGGCTGTGGAGGTCCAGGAAAGGGAGAGGCAGGTGGGCGGGCAAAGTGACTGTGGGACCGTCCACAGCTGACTACCCCCAAAACTCATGGGAGCCCCCCACAAGGAACGTTTAAGCCCCTCTTTCCCAGACTGCCCTGATTCACCACTACCCCACCCCAGTCCTGAGCCTACTGTGTCCCCACCTGGCAAAATTCGTGAGAGGCAAGGGAGCTGAATTAAGCCAAAGAATGGGTAGGTGGGTGCCTGGCTGCATTTGCTGGGATCCGGGGCGTGGCAATGAGGAGGGGGCAGGCTGGCACCAACAGCTGGGGAAGGCCAGACTGGCTGGCGCTGGGGCCTGGCCGTGGGCCACGGTGCCAGGGAAATGCTTAGCAGATGGCCCGGGGAATGAAGCGTATGCCCTAGGCAAATTTGGTGACTTGGGCTGGAGTCCAGGCTACCCGGACTGTTTCACTGGGTCCCTGTCAATGGCCATGACACCTGTGGTGGCCTTTCTGTTGCCCCCGCCCCCTTCCCTTTGTCTATATATATCATCAAGATCTTCTGTTTTAGAACCAGTACGCCTTCTGCTTTTTGCTCGCTTGCTGGGATCCCTCAGACATTGCACCCACACTGTGGGGCTGACTGGGGCGTGAGTGGGAGGGACTGGCCTGGCCTTCAGTGGGGTGTCTGATCTTGTCCGCAGGGCTGAGCTGAGTATCTCAGCCTCATCCTGGTCAGGCCCTACCTTCCGGGCTAGAGACTCAGGGCTGCCGGAGAGAAACTGGTGCTAGGGGGAGCCTTGGAGCAGCTGGGTCCAGAGGCTGGGCCTTCCTCCTCCCACCAGGAGACCGGGGTCTAGGAGCCCTCCAGGTCTGTCCCCAAGGAGAATGCGGGCTGGCAGGGGCTGGGGGCAGGAGCTGGCAGGGTTCTCCTTAGCGCCTGGTGCTGGAGTAGCTGTCCGCTGAGCTGTAGCTCGAGCTCGGGCTCGGGCTCGGGCTCGGGCTCGGGCTCCGCGAATGGGAGGAGCTGCTGCTGCTGCCGCTGGTGCTGCGGCTCCGGCTGCGGGTCCGGTTCGGGCTGCGGCTCCGCGAGTAGCTGCGGCTGCTGGAGCGGCTGCTGCTGCTGCTGTTGTACCAGGAGGAGACACTGCTGCGGCTGCTGGAGGACGAGGGGCTGGGTCTGTAGTAGGGGATGGGCCGCTTCCGGGCGCTGTGGACACAGGAGGAAAGTGGCTCGGGGGGCATCCCCTCTCAACCCTGCTGTCTGAACTTCTGCCTTGCACATGCACACTCTGCTCTCTCTCCCGAGGGCAGAGACTCCAGCATTTTCGCCTCCCTCCCTCCCTTCCTCCCTCCCTCCCTTTGAAAAATCATTTTATTGGGGGCTCTTACAGCTCTTATCATCATCCCTCCATCCATCCACCCACCCACCCATCTATCCATCCATGGTGTCAAGCACATTTGCACATAGGTTGCCATCATCTTTCTCAAAACGTTTTCTTTCTGCTTGAGCCCTTGGTGTCAGCTCTTCATTCCACCCCCCTCTCATGAACCCTTGATAATTTATCTTTTTTTTTTTTCATGTTTTACACCAACCACTGTCTCCCTTCACCCACTTTTCTATTGTCTGTCCCCATGGGAGGGGGTTATATGTTGATCCTTTTGATCGGTTCCCTCTTTCTCCCCTTACCCTCCTGGTATCGCTATTCTCATGGTTGGCCCTGAGGGGGTTTTCTGTCCTGGATTCCCTGTGTTTCCGGCTCTTTTCTGTACCTGTGTACATGCTCTGGTCTAGCCGGATTTGTAAGGGAGAACTAGGGTCACGATAATGGGGTCGGGGGAGAGGAAGCATTAAAGAACGAGAGGAAAGTTGTATGTTTCATCGGTGCTATAGTGCACCCTGACTGGCCCAGACTCTTTCTTTATCGTGGTCTCAAGCCGGTCTCTGCGGTCGGTCCACCCCCACCCCACACAGGCTTTCCTTCCATCTGGCAGGTCTAGGCCCTCACTCACACCTCGTTTTTGCAGGGTCTCCCTCTGGCGTGTATGTTACTCTCACTCGCTCACCAGCAGTGTGTGACTTTCACCTGGAATCTAGCACATGCTAGCTAGCACCGTGCGCACTCAGACGCACATCTTGGGCGTGTTCACCCCCTCTGTCTCTGTCATCTGCGCCCCGGCACCCTCCTCCAGAGCCAGGGAATGACGATCTCTTCACCTGGTAATCCTCCTTGCCTCCAGATGGCTGGGGGAGTCTCTCCGGCGTTTCCGCAGCGGGGAGTAGGACCGACGTCTCCGCTGCCGTGCGCGCTCCCTCTGCTGCGAGCCCTTCTCACTGTATTTGGGGTCCCGCTCCCTGCAGGGGGGCAGACGGGTTGGGGTGATCTGAGAGCTGGCCGGTTTTGACTCCCCTCTATTCTACCCAGAGCAAGAGGAGGGTCCGTCCTGGGCCAAAGGGATTGCTGAGGAGTGGGAGATGGTGGGAAGGGTGGCAGTAACCATGGGGAGCCCCCAATAGAAAGAATATATTTATAGGAGTGCTGTGATAGGGATATCAGGACATAGGAAAGTACTATGCGTCGGCATCAACTGGTGGCAGCGGGCAGGCCTGCTGACACTGTGGGGCTAGGAACCATAAGGTTGGTGACTCAAACACACCTTCTGAGACTTATCGATTTGGATACCCTAAGGAGCGCCGCCACTCTGTCCTACAGGGTTTCTGTGGATCAGAAGTTACTAGATGGAGCTTTATGTTGGGTTTTCTGCCAGTCTTGAGAGATTCAGGGGGTCTTATGCTGGGCTGCTAACCACAAGGTCAGGAAAAAACCAACCAACCACTTTCTGCCCCTGTAAGAGTTACAGCCTCGGGTCCCCATGAAGGGTTGCAGACAGTTGGGATTGACTCAGCGTCAGTATTTGGATTGGGTTTGGTAGGACAGAAAGGAACCCTGGTGGCATCGTGGGTTGGGCATTGTTTTGCAAACCGTGAGTCTGCCAGTTGGAAGCCAGCCCTCTCCTCCAAGGAGAAAGAGGAGGCTTTCTCCTCCCATCCAGGTGCACAGCCTCAGAAACCCAAGGAAGCAGTTGTGCTCTGTCCCATAGAGCTACTATGAGTCTGGACAGGACAAAGCATGGAGATACTGAGTCATCGCCCATCCGGACCCCCCCAGGCAGACTCAGCAGAGGGAGAACTGGTACCTGCTGGGGCTGTAGCGGGAATAACTAGGGCTGCGTCGGGATCGAGAGCTTCTGCTGGGCGGACTCTGCTTCTCCGACTTGGAAGAGTAGCTGGGCGAACGGGAATAGGACCTGGGGGAGAGGAGGCAGCTGCTGGGAGGCTCGCCGAGCGCCTCCCAGAGACATCTGGACACCCCAGCTCCTTGTTCACCTGGCCCCCAGGGGCTGGGGCCGAGAAATGGGGCCCTGCCTGGGCGTGAAATCCCTCCCTTTTGGGTGCTTCCCACAGGGAACCCGTGAGAGCCAGCACTGGCAAGGACTGCCTGGTGCCATCGTGGGCAAGGGGCAGTCCTACCACTTTTCTGTCATTCATTTCAGTGGAACATACTGGGATGTAACTTTTCAGGCCGACTTCTGCCCTATACAGGCTTTATTGTCGTCGCAGGGACAACACTCTCCTCTTGAGGGCATACTGTCCTGGCCATGGACTAGCTGTGTGACCTTGAGCTGATGGCTTTGTCTGGGCCTTGGTTTGTAAAATGGGGATTGTGACATTTGCCCTGTAGGAAAGTAGCCCTGGTGACAATGGCTAAGTGCTCAGCTGCTAACTGAAATGTCAGCAGTTTGAACCCACGGCAGGAGAAAGACCTGCCAGTCTCTTCCACACAAAAACATCAGCCCGGAGGACCCTGTGAGGGCAGTTCTGCTCTGTGGCCTGGGGTCCACTGTGAGTTGAAACTCCACTCCAGGCCACTTAAAAACCACCACCTTACAGGATTGTAAATTACATGGATGAGGTAATGCAAGTAGCCCATTGACACATACTTGGCATGAGGAATGGTAACTACAATTATTATTATGTGACAAGCAAGGAACGAAGTGCATTCTGGGTATTGTTTAATCATCACCATCCTTCTGGGAGGAGGGGTACTGTTACCACTCCATCCTATAGATGGGGAAACAGGCACAGAGAGATGTCATTTGACACAGCTGGTAAGAGTTCTAACCCAGATCTATCTGGCTCCAGTGAATGCTCTTAATATTTTTATAGTACTCTGCCTACAAAACACTAACCTGGCCTACTTCCAGGGTTCCCCTCTCTCTGCTAATGCCTCCCACTTTCACAACACTGCTACTTGGTTTCCTCACCAGCCTCTCAGGAGCACAGCACTTGTTTGCACCACCTTCCTAATGCCATGGCCCTTTCATACAGGTCCTCATGTGGTGGTGGCCCCCAACCATGAAATTATTTTCATTGCGACTTCATCACTGTCATTTTGCTAGTTAGGAATCGGGAAACCCCTGTGAAAGGGTCCCTTGGCCTCCAAAGGGGCTGCGACCCAAAGGCTGAGAACCGCTGCTCTAGACTCAGGCGTTCAAGTCTTTGTCTCTTCTGTGAGGGAGCTTCACCCACTTCCTGGGAAAGTGCAGTTGAAAGATCGTGGCATTTTCCCCACAGACATTTGGAAGCCCTCTCTTCTGTGTGATTCTGGTTGATCAGTGCCATAATCGGGGAAATACACCCACGGTCGTCCAGTAGAGACACAGGACCCCATGGGGCAGAAGTGAGTCTGCCAGGGTCATCCTGTTTCAGCCAGTCCTCAAGCTGATGAATGCACACGGGTGAGCTCAGCGAGTTGGGAAGAACCACCCAGCTGAGCCCAGTCCTTAATTGCTGACCCACAGAATTGTGAACTAAGCAAGTAATTATGGTTCAAGGATGCTAAATGTGTGTGTGTGAGTTTTTATACAGAAGAAGGTCATTGATACACAGTTTAGTTCATCCCCAGGCCAAAAGCAGCCATAGTAACTGGCCTTAGTTATGCTCCTAGTACTGTTGCTGCCCGTGCCGTAGAGCTTTAGAGCCTCTGAAACCCCACGTCTCTGAGTTGATATCAACTCGATGTCAGTAGTAGATTGGGATACAGTTCTGGGGGTTTCTACACATTGTAGTCTTACAGTCCCTTTGGGGAGTGTTAGCAATCTTTCCCAACTACTAGCTCCTTGCGGAGGAGCAAAGTACTGCAGAGCATAAGCTAAAATTGTGCTCACCTTTTCCCAGAGGAGGTGGATTGGCTCCGAGTATACCTGGGAGTGGCCCTAGAATTTGGGGAGCGGGAGGAGTGGCTGGAGGAGTGGGTGCTGGCATAGGAGGAGCTTCGGGAGCACGCTCTCGTCGGGGAACTCCGAGCCGAGGATGGGATCAGACTGGGCTTCTTCACCTCAGAGCATTCCAGACAAGGCGACTGGAACTCTCTGTGGGGAGAAAAGGTCTATAAGTGCTGGACTGCCCACTGGCCTGGGAGTCTCCACGGTGCCAAGACTGCAGCCCTCCCAGAACTGTGTGTCCCATTGCCCAATCCCATTGCAGTGACCTCAGAAAGTTTAGGGCCACTGACCTGGTCACAGTCAAAAAACAAAACCCTCCACATGCATTATTTACAGCTGACGCTGACCCTGGACCAGGGATTTGAATGGTGAAAGGGCCACTTATACACGGGCTGTTTTTCATGCTTCAAGGGCCACGAGCTCAAATGTTGCGAGTATCAGCTAAAATACTCTGACACTGACCATCTCTACCTGAGCAGCTTGGGTCTCCAGTACAGCGTAGGCACGCTCACTGCACTCTGCCTATCAGCGAGTCCACGACTCAAACCTACGTTGTTCAAGGGCCAATGCTCCTTCTCAAAAGACTTTCCAGGAGAGAGAGAAGAGGCCTCACAGATAGGGAGACTAAACATCCTGGCTACTTTTCGCTAAGGCAGACCCCTGTCCCTGAAGACCCACCGAGGGCCAAATGACCCAGGCAGAGCCAAGCACAGCCGTGAGCCCCGGGAGATTGTACTGGTATTACACCCACTGCTGGCCCAGGCCGAGGTCCTCTCTCTAGCTCCAGTCCCAAGGCCAGTGCCTGTGAACCAGCTGCGTGAATGGTACAGAGTAAACCACGGGGCCCTGCTAGTGACTGTTGTTCTGACATTACTTGTGGTCCTTAGCGTTTTGCAGTGACGTCTTGGGTGTTAGGTTAAAGGATCCCTGGTGAGAGCTTAAGGGAGAGTTAAGCTCTTGGACTGCTAACCCAGAGGTCAGCAGTTCGAACAGCCCACCCGGCCGCTCTGTAGGGGAATAAAGACAGCCAGCCTCAGTGGGTTAAATTTTGGGTTTGGGGTGAGGTGGTCATTAGAGCCAGTGTGTGAGCAAGTGTGTGTGGGGGGTGTCGGCGGTGGGGGAGGGAGTCGGGGTTCGACCTTTGGCAGGAAAACTGCCAGCAGGCAAGCCTGTCCGGATGGGCAGGAGTTGGCGGTCTCATTGCTCCGACAGCTGTCCCCTGGGATAAACTCCATGCCGGTGACTTCACACGGAGCGTGATGCTCCGCTGTCTCCCCTGATGACTGGGAGAACCGGCACCTGTTTTTGCTTACCCATCTCTATGCCACCTCTGACAGCCACCACCGCATCTGGGTTTTTAGATTCAGGGGTTCGAGTGTAAGGAGGAGCCGCTCTACTCGCCCCAGAGGTAGTGTGTGGCACACACTGACTAAGGAGACCACAGCAACGCCCAGGCCAGGGGGGTTGGGCCAGAGGGGGGGGCCACCACGCCAGCTGGGCCTAGCCTGCCCTGGTGTCTGTGGACACGATTGGCAAGGGCGGCCTGCGAAAGTTGCAGAAGGTGGGCGGCGTGACCTCTGAGCTGTGGACGAGGGCGGGTCTAGTTGAGGATGGAGCCCGTAGAAAGGAAAGCAGTCATGAAATTGATGAGATTCCCCACGGCAGACATCAATCCCCTGCACCCAGCTGTACCTGCAGCTGGGGGTTGAGTGCGATCGTATTTGTTCCTTCTTGTCACTAAGGAGTGTCCCAAGGAGCTGGGGTGTGAAGCTGAGGCGCTAGAGCGAAGGTGGGACCCCACCCTGAGATACACTCACCTGGATTCTCTGCCCCTGGCGGTGGGGGAGAGAGTCCCCAGAGTCGCCCCCTTGCTCAGTGGGGAGGAGGTGGTGAAGGAGTTCCCTGAATCAGACGTGTTTCCACTGTTCAGCTCCCGGCTCTTGCTCAGGCCCCCACCGGGGCTCCCCTTCTCCTGAGCCCGCGAGCGGGCTGAGCTGGTTTGCGTGGAGGGTGGCGAGGAGGTGTCATTGCCTGAGTCGTACTCCTGAGAGCGTCCACGGGAGGTGGGGAGCGGGCTGGCTGTTTTGGTAAAGAGATCGGCAGCAGACCCCGACCCAGTGATCTGAAAGCAAAAAGATCCGTTGGATACCCTGAGTCCAGGGCCCCGTGAGCTGCGTCTAAAAAACCGAGAAATGTTTACCGTCATGATGCACTGTAGCAAAAGGAAAGAGAGAGGGGAGGGAGAGACGCCAAGGAACAAAAACACAAATTCCTGAGAGAGTACCACAGAAAGGAGATATTTGTTTACCCCCTGCTAGGATAACTGGAAGATTGAGATGTCATGCAGAGTAAAAGCATGCGATCCAGAGAAAACAAAAGAAAAAAAAGAAGGAAATCATATGGAATTTAATTTCTAACAAATTAACTCAGAACAACAAAAGAGAGAAAACTCAATAGAAAGCGGGGGGATGGGGTGTATCGACCCCCTTAACTCAACCTGAACAACAACCAAAACACCAATAGCAATCAAAATAAAGGCAGGGAAAAAGGAAAAAGAAATGGGGCTCTGGGCCTGGGGGGAAAAAAAGGTCTCTTGGAAATTGAAAAAAGAGAGAGAGGTAAAGCCAAAAAATTAAAGTTTCAACCAAATCTTCTCCATGAATTTTTTTTTTTTTGGGGGTAAAGAAAAAGTTGGCCAAATAGAACCCTCAACAAATATCACATGGGAAAGAAATGAAGTAAAGACGAGAGATTTTGGTTTCTTAAAATATAAAAGTCAAGGTCACAAACCGACAGTTTGAGCAGTTTTCAACTAAGGGGGAAAAGAAATCGGGGAGGTGCCCCCCCAAAAAAGAAAGTAAAACAAAGAAGTCAAAACAGTCTGAAAACAAGCCAAAACAGGAGAAAAAAACACAAAGGTGTCTACAGATACGTGTTGCGTCCTTTCCCCCTGTAGAAGGTAGCTAAGGCTCTCAAGTGGCTTCTAATAAATTCTCTCATGTCTTTGCGCATCATATCCACTTACCAAGCAAGCACTCCTCCTTTAGTAGGTAGGTAAGGTGTAAGAGAAAGGGAAGAGCGGGCAACGTGAGTCCATCGTTAGAGTCGCAAATGACAAGAAAAAACACACACCTTTCTGCACATCCTTACACCTGGCCCTGACCTTTTCGGCTTTGGGTTGTTAGGTTCTTGGAGGGATGGGGCATCGATTTTAAGTTTTTTGTGGAGGATTGGGTGACCTCCAGCCACTGACGCCAGCTAGGTTGTGAGTCAGGAAACCCTCGCTGAATTACACATGGCGGCCTAGGTGTGGATGCCGAGGGGACCCTGAGGGGGGTGTGCTTTGCAACAAAGGGCTTTTGAAAGGATTTGAAGACTTGACTTTGGAGGTCTTGGGAGTGATGAGGCTGATCTTGGGGGTGGGGGGGGGGCAAGAGAGGAGGAGGCCAGGGAGAGCCAGCACTTGAGAAGGCGACGGCGTCTTCAGAAGACAATGGATGGGTTTCTTTTAACGGTCAGACTTGTATCATGGCTGGGGTGCACACAGTAGTTTGGGTTCTAGCCCCCTCCATCAGTGCCATGCTTAGTGGTGGCTAAGCAGGATCCCTGCCCTGGGTTTCCTCTGGTGCTAACCTGCCCCCACCCAGCCCCCACGCAGACTTCTCTCTGGGTACATGCGATCGCAGAATTCGGTTTCGGTGACCTCTCTGTCTCTGTCCAGGCTTCTCCATTGGTGTCTTTCATGGATCTATCCTCCCAAGGGTGGGCCATGCCTCCAGTGGGCATATCCCTACATCCAGGGATGGCTTCTGGGACGGAATGTGGGTTTGGGGGCTGAGGACCCTGTGTGCGTGGGTAGGTGTGGGCCACGGACTGAGAGAGATGATGCTTGGGGTGGGAGAAGCAGGGGAGGGGCCCAACTGAGGCCTGGTACTGCAACGGGTCTCAGATGCTACATTGAAAATCATTACAAAAGTATATTGGCCAAGATAGGAGAACATACTTTCATGTAAGCTTTTTGGCTTGATTTATCAACAACACGTAAACTTATCGTAGGTGGACCTTGGCCCCGCCAACTTTCAGCAGGAGCTGTGCCCCAGGTCCCTTGGGCCTGAAGCAAGTGGGCCCTCGGGCTTTCTTAGGGAACCATTTCTGCCTTTGTAGCCATTGGCCGAGAGGGTGAGTCTTGGTGACCCCAGAACTAGGAGGAAACAGCAGGCACTCCAGCAGCTTGGGGACTCCCCACCTGGAGCCAGGGAGGCAGGGCTCCCCTCTGGCTTCTCCCAGAAGGTTCTGCACACAGCAAGGCACTGGCCCACCTCTACCCACGTGCTCCCCGGTTCAGCTGTCACTTTATCTGCTTGGTGGCTTGGCTAGCTTTGCTTTGAGAGAATGAGCCTCAAAATAAAGTTGGCTAGGTAAAAATGTCTAGGGCGGGGCTTCTAGAAGCTTCCCAGCTACCGCCTCTTTTGTCCCCATCACGGACTGGAGGCCTCCCCTTCGGAGTTCAGTGGTGACAAGTGCATTTCCGGTACCTCCAGCACAAAAGGGCACCCAGAGCCTGCCACCAGGTGGGTCTGGCTCCTGGACTCTGCCCCAGGTGTGGTGGCCATTTGCCAGCCAGTATATGTCACAGGTGAGAAAGGGGACTGTGGGCTCAGCCACTAGCTCCTACAGGACCAGGTTGTCATTACCTGGCGGCCTGCTCCCCGAGGACCTTCGGGTGGGGCCTGCTCCCCCCAGGAACTTGCTTTCAGCCTTAATTAGCTGAAAGCATCACAGATCCCCATGGGTCTGGACCCCCTGCAGAGTGAGGGAACAATGTGAGCAAGGGGGCTTGCCTGACTCATCTTCTCCACCTCAGGCCTGAGCTCTCATGGGCACTAAGAGACCGGTCCCCACCCAGCAGAGATCCTTTTCCATGGGAGTCTGGGTGGAGCTGAGACCCCCTACAACCAAGCACCACACTTTGCAGACATCACCGGCAAGCAGAGACCCAGGTGTTACACGGAGCTCAGTGGGCTGACCCTGGTGCCAGAAAGCAATCTCCCCGCCCTCTTTTTTCTTAGGAAGAAACTCCACTTGACGGTAGATGCCACGGCCCTTTATCGCCCGGGCCAATTTCCCAAACCTTATCCTCAAACAATCCTCTCCCCCCACCCGACCCCCAAGCCTAAGCAGATGGATTGGAGTTGTGCTCAATTCTCCCACTGCATCTTGGTGGTCAATCATCAGGTTTCTACACCTGCTGCTCTTCCCACCACAAAATCCATTCCGCTTTCCTTCCTCGCTTCCCCTTGTCCAGACGGGGCTAATCCCTCTGTGAACTTCCTTCCTTCTACGCATAGCACACACCTCTCTGTGACCCCGTGGGGTCTCTGCTGACTCTGCTGATCTTCCCCTCCACCTGGGTGGGGGAGCTTGGGCCGCAGCTGGTCCCACATGGCACCCAAGGCTGAGAGAACACAGCTGCCAAGAGCCAGGGCCGGCTCTTTGTCCATCCTAAGGAAGTCCTTGCTAGAGAGGGCTGGATGCCACATTGTAGGGGATCCCAAGGAGTGACTGGGGGTTTGATAGAGGGTCTAGGAGTGCTTGGTTCCATCACCCCCCGTTGGTGTAGGAGCCTGGTAGATCCTTTGCTGAAGATTGGGGATCCTGTAAGTGGGGTGTGGGGAGGAGGGCAGGCATGCCCTTTGCTCTCCCTCAGACTCAGGGTTCTGGGTGCACAGTGTGTACACCAGGTTTAGAGTGGGGAGACACAGCACAGGGTGTACAAGCTTCTGAATAACACCGTCAGAGAGGTCTAGATGGTCGAATGGCTTCCCATCCTCAAATTCCACCTTCTTGGTATATGTGTGGGGGGATGGGGGTGGGGGCTCATTCCTCCCAGAGGAAGAAGAGGGGCGCCCCAGGCAGAATGAGGATGAGAGTCATGGCCTTGCATAAGGAATATAGACTCTCAGGTCGTGGACCTCAGGACAGGCAGAGACTGGAGGCTGCCCCATGGGCTGGCCTCTACCATCCTCTCTGTTCTCGCCCTTCTAGCTGGACACGCCCCTGCCTGGCACTTTAGGGTGCACTGTTGCCCCCTTGGCACTGATAAGAGGCAGCTCCTCTTGCTCCCCTCTTCCTCCTCGCATGGATCACAAGCCTCTCAAAATGCGTCTTTGAAGATCTCTTCCTGCTTTGGGAATTGCTCCTCTACTGGTGCAGCTGCTCTCTGCCCTGCTCCAGCTTGGCTAGAAATGGTGTCCCGGGTACTTGGTAGGAAGGGGCATCGTAGACCCACAGTTGTCTATCAATAGTGCCCCTTCCTACCATCACCTCTGCCCACTCTCTAAGACCTGGAGCCCTCAGCCCAGACTCACTGCACCCTAGCCAGGCCTTCCCAAGGGCTTTTGGGTTCCCCAAATCTAGACAGGAATGTGAGTTCAAGTAGCTTATTTGAGATGGGAGGTGCCTCTGTGTGGGGTGGAGCTAACCCCATGGCCGTCTAGCCTGTTCTGACACACGATGACCCCAAGCATGTCACAGGGTGGACCTGATCCCCAGGGGAGTTCTGCCTGTAATCTTCATGGAAGCAGATCGTCGTGTCTCCTGTGGTGCCTCTGGTGGGGTTCCAGCCGCTGGCCATGAGATCCGCCAAACCCAAGCGAACCTCCCCGTGACCCGGGTGTTTCTGACTATGGGGTAGAGTGGAACCTGCCTCTGTGGGTTTCAGAGACTCAAACTCTTGATGGGAGTAGAAAGCCTCATTTTTCTCCCAAGGAGCAGCTGGTGGTTTCGAACTGCTGACCTGAGGGGTAGCAGGCCCATGCAGAAGCACCCCGCATCCAGGACTCCCATCAGGCTTAGGTCAGCATCGACTGCAATCCAGTGGTACCCCCCTGTGACCGCTGGCAGGGTTCACCCTGCTGGGGATACTCTTGGAGGGAGGGTTCCCATGCTGGGGTGTTTCCACACCGACTCCCCATCACTCTGTCGAAGGAGTTGACGCCCTAGTCTGTCCCACTGCCCCTTGGACAGGCAGAGAACCCTGCTGTCAGCAGCTGGACTGGGGAGAGGGAGGGTAAGATGCACACAGGCTCTGCTTCAGCCCCCCCACCCCCCACCCCAATCAAG